GGGGGGGGGGGGGGGGGGGGGGGGGGGGGGGGGGGGGGGGGGGGGGGGGGGGGGGGGGGGGGGGGGGGGGGGGGGGGGGGGGGGGGGGGGGGGGGGGCGAGGAACAAAATGCTGAAACATTTATCGTCTACACGGTCCAAGAACAGCGTCCCGAGTCAGCAAAGCTTGCCCGAACGATCGGACGGAAATCCCCGGGAGATTGCCGTTTCAACCAGGAGGAGGAGTAGGACGAGGAGGATCTCGCTCCCTTCCCCACTCAGAGAAGCGGCAACTTAGCTCAAGATCTGGCCCAGCAGGCCTGCCCCTTTCATAGCGCTCGGGTGCGTGCGTTTTCTCCGCGAGCCGTACTAGAATACACACGAAACAAATCGCACACCAAGACACCGAAAATACCTAACAAGGAGCCACAAACGATCACGATGACGGTTGTCGATGGGGGCGCCAGCCCTGTTAGGCTGAATGCTTAGCTACACGCAGACGCACCTTGGTGACGCAAACGTTGCACGCGGTGCAATGGATTGCCCCCGCCGGCCGCTTGACGTCGCACCGACCTGGACGTGTGACAGTGTTCGTTCGTTCCGATTCGAGGCAGCATTCAACAAAAAACAGAGACTGTTTGGAATGCGGGCGGCCAACGACGACTTCAGGTAGATATGCACAGCGCTTTGTTTGAACAGCGATTGTACTTATTACCCGTTGTTACCGTGCGCATCCCATCACCACAGCCGACAGCAAACTGAGCAAACCATGAGGGACGGTGAAAAGAGGAAGAACAAAATGCCAAGGGGGGAGGGCATCCGAGAGTATCCGCATCTGGAGCTAGCCATTGCAGCTGAATCCGATGTCCATATGCATGTGTGAGCCATTGCAGCTGAATCCGGTTTCCCATAAGCATGTGCGTGTGTATAGTCCGTATGCGCGCAAGAAGGGAGGAGAGAAAATTATTGTTCACGTGTTTTCCCTTGTGCGTCAACGAAAAAAAACATTGATGCCTCGTTGGGGGTAGTTGGAGCGCTGTCTCGTTGTTTACCGCAAATCTGCCCTGAGAGCTAGTACCCAACGACAGCCGTGACAGCCAAACCACGGCTTCTCAATCAGCGACGCCAACTGGACTCGTGTCCGCTTTTCTTGCCAAATGCACCAAAGACGTTCAGAATCCAGCAAAAGGGAGACTACGGCAGGAGTGACGGCGATCTTTGCGCGCTCGTACAAAACGGGCGCGCTGTGTGCACACAGCGCTTCGTGTGTAATGCACTTGCCATCGTGCGGAGGGAGGGGGTGGTCACCTCTGTGGTGCCTACATACCGCTGTGATAACCCAAGCCTCACCGCAAAGCAAGCCGCCCTCCTCCATGGCCATCGGCGGCAGGGTAGCGTCCGCCACGGCAGTTTCTCCGCCACGCCCCCCACTCTCGCCGCCCACCGCCGCCGGCGGGGGTATTCTCCTCTCCGCGGGACGGTAGACGATGCCCGGGTCGCTGCACGCCGTCATCGAGAAGGCCAGCAGCAACGCGGATCCCGTGATGCAAACGATGAAGCTCGCCACCCAGTACTTCGCCCCGGTTCTTCGTAAGGATGATCCCGAGCGGACGGTAAAATGTGGAAGAGACACAAAGAGAGGATACGTGATTACCGTGAAATGAAACGATTAACTGCATTTTACCGTGGGCTCCACCAAGGGTTTATTCGCGGGCGCGGGGAAGACCCCGAGCAGACGGTGAACGTGGTTGTGTTCGGCGGGAGGAAAGGACACACGATAACCGTGGAATGGTAGTGCCATCAGTCGGTTCAATAACGCATTTCCCGCGAGAGACATCCCACGCAAAAAACTCAAGAATCGACGTGGGTTGATCTCCCGTTCGGAAGCAAGAGGCACGAAGATTCCATTACTCTCTCTTGCCACCTGGAATTCTACCAAAAGCGGTAGCAATACATGAAGGCCAAGCGGTCAACCTGCAGGCACGGCCCCAGGTGGTGCTGCTATTGTGACAACGAACACTCCCCCTGTCTCTGCTTCTACCTCCTTCTTTCACCCGAACTGACGCGGACGCGTTCCGTGGTCATGACAGAAAACATTTATATACCCAGAAGAGGCACGGAACTATTAGAATTGTGCTTACACGAGAATTAGGAGAGCGAGGGTTGGAGTAAGGACGAGGCCATAGGTCGCCAGCATGCACATCCAGTTCGGGCCCACCTGCAACCAGCAACGACGCAAGAACAAAAAAGAGAAAAAAAACGTTGGCTGTTCGGTTCTAGGACGAGGGGTAGCCTTGACGCTTCCATGATCAAGCGGCGGGAGCGACTAGCAATCGACACGTTCAACACGTTCACCACCAACAGCACGTGTGAGTCACGGGATATCCAATTCGCCACAAGACGTCCACCGCCCCCCACCACCGTTAGCACCAAGATGCCGAACACCCTGAGCAGGATGCATCGCACCCTCCATGCGACTCGCCGAATACCTCACGGGGCTTCGCGCTTGGTGACGTGAGAGCCTGGTCCGGTGAGAACGGCGTGCTCCGTCCCGGCTTTGCAGGGATGCGAGGTCAACGGTCTAACGACTACGGCATGCACGACCATGAGTACACCCCCCCATCACCACTGTTCGAGCGCTCGGCCGCAGCAGCAGCAGGGTCGTTCCCGACAGCATTGTTCAACCCGTGCTGGAACGGATGGCAATATAAGGTTCGGAACGGCTCTCTACCAGAGGGGGCGGCGGAAAAAACGCCACAACACAGGTATTTTCCCGTCGTTTCCGGGAGACACTTTCCGCATCTCAAAAAGCCACGGAATACCGCATGATACCGCTTGGTATCTCGTGTACACTGACACCATGCATACGACGGTGAAGCTTGCCGGCACGATGACGGGTCCAGTGGTCTCCAAATCACGCGGAGAACTCCCCAGCAGACGGAAACAAAGGTGGCACAGAACAAACCAACCACCGTCCTTCCCGATAGGCAAGCGCCGGGCACAAACAGCAGTATTGATCGACTACGACCCTGTAAAACCGAGAACTCGGTTGTTGAAACGCTGGAGATCCCACCATCCTACACGTACTGTAGACACAGATTGTTCCTGCCGCAATTGGCTAGGGGCTGGAACAGTAGCCTTCGCAAGTTGTTTCGATTAAGCGAACATGCTGGACAAATAATGCGAAGGGGGGAGAGGGGCTAGGGTTTTAGGGGTAGGGATAGGATCTGCATACCCCAACCTTGCTCTACAAACGCAGATAGACTACCAACTCGAGATATAACCAAAGTCGAACGGGATGTGTTGGATTCTATGCAGTGAATGGAGGGAAACCGGCTGGGTACTGAGCATATTAGCCTGTATGTACACTGAATATATTTTATCAGTGATGCCAGCAGGTGCTAATCACAAAGACAAAAAACCTCACAAACTTATCTTCTCGCGAATGCGGTCCGCTGGAATGGATCGAAAAAGCTGTTCGTCTCACCAGGCAGTGCTGTGGGAAGCGGCCTTCCTTGGTCCCGCACAGGAGGATGGTGTTGCCCACCCGTCTCGGCCCGCAGTAGAACCTGCAACGGAAAATTCCGTTCCGTACGCGGCGTACGTTGTCCTAGTAAGCTTGAGGGGAGGCGTGTGTGTGGAGAACGCGGCACATTGGCGTCGCGTGTAGTACCAGGTGTTAACGAACACAACCCTGACACTGTGAGTTTTCGTGCCTGGTACATGCAGCACCGCTACCTCGTCTCCCAAAAACGTGCTGTGTACACCATCGACAACTAGTGGCGGCAGTTGCCAACCAACGCCTAAACCCAACGCTTCGTCCCGATATCGAACGACCATCTATGTTTGGGGTACCCGGCGGTCCGCATGATACACGGAGCAGTCATGTGACCTGATGATTGGTGAGTGACGAAGTAGTCCTCTCTACCATCGGCTCTCCTGATCACCAACATGGTTGCTTGGGTGGTGAACGAAACCAGCGTCTCATGTTCATGTCTTCATGATCGGCTGCTAGGGTGGTTTCCTCTGGACATCCGCCCGCACTAATCGAAACATACAGGAACGCCCCAGCACCACCGCTGCAAGAGGAAGACCACAGCCCACGTTGGCGAGGTAGAAGCATTACTACACCTCTGATGTACGAAAACACACGGGTCGTGAGTCGTCAGCAACCCTGCCACATATTGACGACTTCCGGATTGTGTTGGCACGCTGGCCGTTCTCGTGTAGATACCAAATTCCCCAAACCAGGCCGACAATACAACAGCAGAGGTACAACACCAACAACAACAGCAAGAGTTGGGCTAAAGCATCTCTCACGTGGGGTCCCCGGCCACCCTCTCCAACCCATCGGGAAAATTCTTCGCGCACGGGCAGCAGGTCATCTCTCGCCCCCCCCCCCCCCCCCCCCCCCCCCCCCCCCCCCCCNGAAACCGCGGCTTCACGGAACCGTTGCGGCCACACCCTGCCAGGCCAAACCGCCTGATCGCAACAGCAGGAAGTTCGGAGCGAGGGAGCGGGGGGGTTAAATCGTGTGGTCTCGAACAGCGTATGTGTATACTTGTCTCTTGAGACGCACACGAGGGTTAGGCTGCCGTAAGGGGTAGGGAGAGATGGCACCCCCCCCAGACCGCCACCTTTGGCAAAGTAGAAAGGAACGATTGGCCATCGGTGATCGGTCCTGTGGGAACAATAACAATGCTCCGTCCTCTCGAGGACTCGTGGTCAATGGTCTAACCNAGCTCGATTGCTTTTGTGTCAGTTGCATAACCAAGGGGCTGCGGAAGAGCCCTGTACGTCGACGGAAAGCCCTGGACCAGATGTTTCCAAAACGGACACTCTTGGTGTTGGCACAAGCATTGCTGTGGAGCAATCGAGCTTTGAAAGTCGCTCTGGGGGGGGGTGCCATCTCTCCGCCTCTTCCGGTATCTTCCGCGCATGAAAACAAGTATTTTTTTTAAACAATGATACCGCGCAACACCGAGACGACAGGACAACAACCATCGACCCGTGGTTTACGTTTCAGGGAGCACGCAAGAAACTGCGAACATGTTCGACCCGGGACTACTCGAAAAGTGCATCGATACGGAGACACCGCATCCGAATTTTGTAGGCGTGCGCGACAGCAATGCACACTCTGGCTACTTTCATCGCGGTTGTGTGCGCGATGTGCACGGACAGCGGCTCGTATGCATGCATGCATAGCCGCAGTAGGCTTTCAGAACAATATCCAACACGACGAGAACCTGGTTCGCGTGCTTGACAAGAAACCAGAGAGAACAAGGGGAAGATTGTATGCTATTAATGGTGCCTTCGTCTAGGGATAGGGTAGCTTTCGGGAATCGAGGGAAGGGCGAGCTGCTAGGGTGTGGGGGTACTGCTATATCCTCTCCCAGTCGCAAGCTGCATCCTGCGTGTGTGTGACCGTGTGTGTCTTTATTATTCGCGACCGTGCAAACCGGCTGACCAATGAAAACACGTCAGTCTCATGCGATTGGAAACACAAAACACTTCTATCTGCCATGAACTGGGACCCCGTGAGGCTAAACTATCCTTCAGATCAAAAGACCGAAACGGTGACAGCAGAAGAAAAGTGGACGCGTCTACAAAGGCTATTAATAGTACGTTGTACTCTAGTTCGATTAGGAGTACTTTCACCATTATCCTTGTTTTCGCTACCATCATTTTGATCCTCATTTTGACAAGAATCTCTGGGCAGTTCTTCCCTTGCCCTACGTTTTTTTTTGGGGGGGAAGGTTATCTGGCTCAAACCCTTCGCTCTCTTCCACTCCTCCATGTTTTCCTCCTCCATCGTCGTCGTCGTGCTCCTTTCTTTCCTTTCCCTTTCCTTCGTCTCCGTCACTCCAGAAAGAAATACCCTCATTACTATCGTTGTCGCAGAGATCCCAACCGATTGGNTTTGGGGGGGAAGGTTATCTGGCTCAAACCCTTCGCTCTCTTCCACTCCTCCATGTTTTCCTCCTCCATCGTCGTCGTCGTGCTCCTTTCTTTCCTTTCCCTTTCCTTCGTCTCCGTCACTCCAGAAAGAAATACCCTCATTACTATCGTTGTCGCAGAGATCCCAACCGATTGGTCCTGGTGGAAGTTGGTCGATCAGTAGCCCATGACGTTTGGACACATCGCGAGTTCGCACCGACAGAAAACGAGCTATAATAGCTCGAGGGTAAACCGTCTCCGAATCCTGTTTGTATGAAAAGCTTTCAGGCGAACTAAGGCTCTTTCGTCGTCAAAATTCCGCCGGCAAAGAGCTTCGTGCGCCAAGTGGTTGGCGATAGCAACAACGAGTCGATAGGTGCCTTTGCCAGCACCACCATTCGTTGATAAAGCAGCGGTAAGGAGGGTAGATCCAGACGGGTTGAAAGTTCCCGCATAGTGATTTGCCTTACTTGCAGCTCGACCTTCGAGGGCGGATCCTGGCTGTTGGACCGTGTGTGTTTCGGGACGATGTGTCGGTGTGCCCGCATGCCCGCAGGCCATTTTCAACGAAACGACTCTATGTATCTACCTAGAAGGAGAGATACCTCACACAAGCTGCACTATCTCTCTTGCTCTCTTCGATTCCCGGGATCGCCTGCTCCTATGTCCTAGAACGAATGACGCGGTTGAGCGTGCACGATAGCCCCTCACCTTTGCTTGTTCGCACCCTTCGTAACGTGGGTTTGGCCAAGGAACAGAGCAAGCACAGAGCACAAAGCGCGCGCCCGCCTGGGGGGGGGCACGCGAGCCGCATTCATACACCTGTCCACACCCGCACACAAGGTGAATTGGGTTCGCCGCCATCTGTGGGCCGCGTTCCCAAACCCATGGCAGCATGGCAGCATGGCGCACTGCAACGCAGAGCTACACACCAGGGCAGCAGCAGGGAAATAGCGAGCTGTCTACCACCGGCGCAGCCATAGTGACGAACTGCCTAAGACTTCGCGGTAAGTCCTGGGGCTGGTGTAAAGTACCCAGAGATCATTGGGCATCACGGCGGCGATGACGCGATACGCGATCCACGTCCAACGAACCAACGAAATGACGAAATTGCCCCGCATATTTAGAAGCGCCGCGTATGGCGCAACCATCCCACCCCACACCCCTGCTCCTTACTCTCTCCCAGGCGCGCTAGAAAAGGAACGTACCAGCGAAGTCGCTGTGGCCTGCGTATATATTTCGTCCAACAAGTAGTCGCAGTCCGAGAAAATAGTTTGTTGCGATATACACACGACGGTTGTGCGTTGGTGTAGACTACATGTTGACTAGCTATATAATAGGTAATGTCGAGGACCGTTCCCTCTCGAGTCTTCAGTGCGAAGTCACCGCAGTACAGCAGCGCCAGTGGGGTCGTTCACTTATTTCTATTCAATCCACCTGGCAATGGAACTGTAGCGCTGCGGCGAGCAACCTGCCGCCCGCTACTGCAGTACCACTTTGTAGGTTTGGAAACGGCAAAGTTACCAAGCTTGCGATTGTTCTTGCTCCCTAAACGCAAGCTCCTCCCTGGTTGCTCTGCCGAGCTGGCAATGCTCAAAGCAACGCACGGTCTTGTAATATTATAACGTGCTCAGCTGTATGCTGGTGTCGTCGTCTGTTGACGAATACCGTCCACGCATACTTGCAACCATGCCGATCCCTGCTCAGGCCCCACCAACATCGGTAACTCTGGTCCAACTGACGTGGATATCTCTCGTATTTCGAGGCTAACAACCCAAACATTGCCCTTACTTGAGACATCAAATAAGAAAGCAAACAACCTACGTATTACACTTCCTGCCGTGCCACGCCGCCCAGCACCGAAGCGACAACATGGGGCCTAACGCAGGAGGAGGGAAGAGAAACAAGGTCGATGCTTCCAAGGTTGCATCGGCTAGAGGGCGCTTCAGCAGCAACGCGTTTCCGGGAAACAAGAAGGTGCCGAGGGTTTTTGAGCGGCACGCCGGTGTTCCCGACAGCAGTGCGGTCTTTGTGCTGTCTGCTGTGCCCCTGCCCAGCAGGGAGTGGGGATCAAGAGGGGAAAGCCTGTCGACTCTGCTACTGAAAGCGAGCTGGTACCGACGAACGTCAAAAAGCATGTAGACCATCTTTTGGATGAAGTGGTCGGTAAGGCGGGTGCTGTACATGCTATCCGTCAGCAGTGCGATGACTACGGGGTGGGTGCCGCTCCACAACTTTCCCAAGTGTGTGGTGTGTTTCTTATGTTGACGGGGGGGTCCTTACACGGCCCGCCTTGAAACTGTGGTTCTTATCACCCCATCTGCCTCGCTGCCAACCACCGGAAGGTTGGTACTCTTCTGAAACGGTTGAGGCTGTGCGTGGTCACCTGCCGCTGTTTCTGCTGTGTCGCATTTGTTTCCTTCATTACCACACACTACCGCTTGAACTACCCCCACCAACAGAAAAAGAAAGGAGGCGGCGGGCGCGGTGGCAGCGGGGCCGGCGCGAAACCGTCCGACGCTGGCGGGAGAGGAAAAGCAGGCGGGGGAAGGGGAGGGGCGGGGCGGCCCACAGATGCCACCGTCATCCAAAAGCTTTCGGAGAGAGTTTCGTCGGGAGCTACGTCGGGAGTCGGGTTGGCGGCAGGAGGCGGGAGGGATCCATTGAAGGGAGTTGACGTTGCTGGCCTGGAGGAGATCAGCATCGCTGAGGGAGACTGGCAGAGCGTTTTTAGGTGTGTAGCAGCATGCATGCAGGGGGCTCTGCTCACTGGTAGTATCGGCAGGGAACCCCCTCCGTCTCATCAAGGGGTTTGTGGGAGGGGTGGCGAATGCGCTTTCGTATTAGCCTGTGGTGGTGGCAGACGGGTAGAAAACGGGGAGAGCCTTTTGGACCTTTCCCTCTATCCTCCGCCGTCCTCACCAGCACCCCCCTCCGTGTTAGCCCGGCCTGCAAAAACAAGCCATGCTTCGTGCCGGCTTTGAAGAGGTTCGCATACGGAAGACGTTTTTTGCTGCCGGGAAGCGGGGAAACGGGGTCATTCACGACGTCCAAGAAATGACAGGTCGGAGCTCGTTCTTTGTTGTCCTGGCGGAAGCACCGTCAAGTTTCGAGCTCTCGGTAGCCTGGATTACGCGGAGGAAGGACTTGCAGTGTCCGATCCATTTTTTGGGGGGGGAGGAGGAGGGACATTCCCTCCCGTTTTTTTTTTGCTTCGTATACCTCCGGTGATGATTAGGGGTTCAATATTTCCCTCGAAACGGAGCGCTGCTCAAGCCCCTTTAGACTTTTACTTGAGCTAACGTTGGGCATCACGCCGGGGAGGAATCTACTCCGCTGTGACCCTGCCGCAGAACCTCGTTGTACAGGCGCTACCGTTGTCGTTGTCAAGCTCTCTCGAATTCGCATCATCAGTGAATCTATCAACCAATTGGCGGTGTGCTTTCCGTGTTTCTCTCTAGAAGTTACCCAGTTTATTTGGCACTCTACCCGATGCCAGGCTCCTCAAGGACATCGGTCTGTTCGATTCTGCGGGCCCAGACGGCGGCAACAGCAGCAGTGGCAGCACCCTGTCCTCCGCGGGACCAACGCCCCCGCCGAGAAACACCACCTCCCCTGGAGATCCCGGTGGTCCTAACACCGCGACCGGTCCGGGCGCCTCGTCTCGCCAAACCTCGGCAGAACCCGCTGCCGCCGGTGCTTCCGCTCGCACCACTACTGCGGCCACCACAGCAGCCGCTCCTTCCAATCTGCCGACCGCCCCTGCGACGAGTCAAACGCAGCAGGAGCAGCAGCACGACCCGGCCATCATGTCTTACCTGACCAAGCTACTGGCGTTCCCGGAGGCGGACGCCGCGACGGCCTTGTCCAACACCTCGGGGAACGATCTCGCCGAGGCGCTGGACTACCTCTGCCTGCACACGGACGACGCGGGGCTGAAGCGGGGGTTCCGCAGGGGCAGCGGCGGGGGAGGAGGGGGGGGTGTGGGGCATAAAGGTGGTGGNCGGGGCTGAAGCGGGGGTTCCGCAGGGGCAGCGGCGGGGGAGGAGGGGTGGGTGTGGGGCATAAAGGTGGTGGTGGGGGGGGTGGGGGCGGGAGACGGAAAGTCGTTGCTGCTGCTTTGTCTGGATCTTCGGCGATTGAGGTGCGCGATGTGAATCGAAGTGTGTGTGCGTGTGTGTGTCTTGTGTAGCATCGACCGCGCTCACTCTCGGACCAATGAAAATGTCAGTGCGTGTGTTTATATGTCCAAACTATCATGGCGCCAGTCTAGGATGTGGTTGGCTTGCTTTTTGTTGTTCGAGCTTATTACCGTTCGATCTTGGAAGTGCTGAGGAGGGGCAAGGAACCAAGAATGGTCCAATCGAACGGATACATCGTCGGGTATTCATACGTGCGGCGTGTTCTTCCTTGGCGTTTCCTGGGCTGCGAAGGTTTTTACCGCATGCTGTTGCTCTTGCTAGTTCTGGTTCATCACCATGATTCGCTCATTGCATCGGCGCTGATGGTTCTAGTTTCTACTCTCGAACAACTCCAACATCAAGCTCAAGCGAAATAACGGAAGCAGACAACATGCTCCAGCTACGCGACAATATGACCGCTCTCCCAGAAGAAAAAACTGAGGTGCCTGTCCGTGTATAGCACCCTGGATAACTGCATGTGAAGGTCAAACATGATGCACCGGAAGGTGCAGAAAGTGGCGCCCAGAATAGGTTTGACGACCACACCACCCGAAACACGACACCCTCCATTTTATCTGAACTTGCGCGGAAGGTCGTGAGCAGCGCGGACTGGAAGGTGGAGCACCGCGTGCTCTCCCTGGTAAAGATGGGTTTCAAGAGGGAAGAGGCCGAGGCCGCCCTTTCGGCGTCACCGTCCGGGGAGGTGATGGGACACGATACCCTTACGCGCCTGCTGGAGCCCTTCCGACCCTCTGGTTCCGGTGCCAGTGCTGGTTCCAAGGAGTCTTCTCTTTCAACAAGAGCCGAAGAGGTGATGATGCCTTTGGGGTTGTAGCGCTTCTCTTGTGTGCGAGGCCCTGCTTCTTTTTCTGGATGCAGTTCTGCTTTCCGACATGTGTGTTTCTTTGTTGTTCCTCTTGGTTGTTGTCGGATCTCGCTCTAGTTTGTGTGGGAAGCTGGTGCTAGGCCGCTTGGCCTTAGAAGAAGGTGCGCCTTTAAGTATTCCGACTGGACTTGGTCCTTCTCGAAAATATCTACCAAGAGCGGTACTGATCCTCGCATGGCCGGTCAAAAAAATATCAAAGTTTTATCAACTCTAGTGTTTACCCCAAGAAAACGACATTTACGTAAAAATAGAATTTTTAATCTAAACAAAAAAATTTCGCTCTTTTTAATGCCAGTAATTCACAAACATCAAAAATTACAGAAATACGATTACCTTCAACAAACGCAAAATTACATTTTGTCCCTTTATATTTACACCCTCCTGAAGAGATCTATCTTACAGAGAAGAAAGAAGAAGACGAGCATCAGTGAAGAGAGAATGCTGTTATGTTCCACGTTTTTTCGACTCGCTTTCGTCAAGGGAGAGGGAGTTTGTATGAGTGAGTGGCGCAGCACTCAGAAAAGGTGTAACAAAAGTTTTGAGCTCTGCGAAAAGCGGGGGTCTCCGAATAGGGCGGGGGTGGAGCAGCCGACAATGACTGCCTTACGTGGGGCAGCCGCCTTGTTCAACGTATTGAATAACTTGATTATTCCGTCTGCTACGCTAGCCAATTTCACCCGCCTTTTTGAGGGCGACCAATCATCCTATTCAGACCGCCTTATTCGTGACCTACGTTGTACTCGTTGGGCCTGGCAAGCGTTTCTATTCGGGGGGGGGAGGGTGCGGGCGGTTCGCTTCCTGTACGATTACAGAAAACATAGCTCCTGTTATCGCTCATAGACGGACGTGCTGCACCTTTTACTCACTCATTCCTCGACCAGTTCGCGCTGACGCCAGAGAAAATACCTAGGTACTGCGATATATAGGACGTTTTTTGCTGAGTATTCACCACCCTTGCCCCTTGTTTTTTTTGTTGTGTCAGGAGTTAGTCCTGTCTTCCATCTTTGGCGAAAAGGCGTTCCGTGTTGTGAGGGGGAAGGAAGGACGGGATGCTCTTCGGTGGGAAGTGGACGTGGGCTTGGAGTTCGATGGGGGAAGCATTTCTGCCGAAACGACCGTCATGTTCCTGTTCCAGAAAGGGAATAGGTGAGCCTGGGCGGTTGTTTCTGTCGCCGTGTTCATCGTCCAAGCTGTTGTCGTAGGTAGTAGTTGTGAAGGTGGCGGTGATTGCGGCGTTTTTGGTGGTGGTAACTGTGTTGCTGGCGTCGTTGTTGGCGGTGGTGTCGCTGCAGTTTTCGGGGCAAAACTGGTGGGGCGCAGCACGTTCTCGAATGCTTTGTGTCATCACAACCGACGAGTGTTTCTCTTTCGAGGCCAAGGGTAAGAAGTGCATTCAACATGAATGGCTCCGGCTCGGGCCAAAATCCACTGTCACGAATATTAGACCATGTACTGATTTGTAGATCGTTCTCAAGAATCTAATCTCAAGATTTACTTTGGGCTGTAACACCCTCAGATTGCTGTAGATTTGTAATTTTTGTTTTTTCGTTCGTTGAGGTTCGCTGGGCTCTTTGAGTCAAAAACGCGTCAGCTGTGTGAGCTTGGGAAACGTCACACCGCAGCTGGCAGTCAGCTGTGGGTTGGTCCCGCCTGCCTGGTTTTATTTTCATCTTGCGTCACCCCTTGATGACACTGCCGTGCTCTCACGAGCCCACTCCCGAGGGATCAATTGTACATACTTCAATAAAAGTAATACTTCGCGAAACTTTTCCGGCGATAAGAAGGAGCAGGCACCCTAAGCCGGACAACGTTTTTGTTTCGGCGCTGTTGGCACTTTGTCGTGCTTGGTAATACCCGTGTGGAGAAACCCGAGATTTGGCGTTCCTGTTAGCGATTCCGCGGCTTTTGTAGCTGCTTCGAGTTCGCACGCGGCCCCATAAATGTTCTACCGCGCGTTCGAGCCCGCATACTTGCCCCTTGAAAGTTCTTTGATCTGCTTCGCTTTCGAAAGCTCGGCGCTCATGTAACTGACAAAATACAGGCCGCTGCTATGTATCGCAGACGGCACACCGTTTGTCGCTTCTCTGCACCCCGGCATATCGCTCCGTCCCGGCATTGTCGGGTAACAGTCTAATGACTACGCCAATGCGTTGACATGAGTACCCCCCCCCCCCCCNATGGTAGGTACCCCCACGAGGCCCCCCTCGTTCTGGTGACGAACGAGTCGCTTCCGCCGGGACTAGCCCGGAGGCTCATCGAAGCGGCCAACGCCCGGGCAGCGGCGATGGTGGGTGTGGTTTGCGGTAGAGTGTCTGTGTGCGGCGGGGACCGAGTGGATTCGGAGGACTCCAGGGTTTCGCTGTTGCTTGAAACGTGTGCTGATTTTTTTCCTTTTCAGTGATTCCGTCCCGAATGTCGTCAAGGGTATGTTTTTTTCCGTTTTTAGTGTGAGTGTGTGTGTGAAGGAGCCGATCTCGGAAATCGCTCTTCGCTTTCCTCGTGCCACTCACCCGAAGGCTTTTGTAGCAGTTCACCGCGCTCGAGAAGAGAATGACGATGAGTACATCATGAGCCTCCCTCGCCCTCCCGCTCACGCTCCAGACCCTTGGCCTCCGTTCAACGTTTGTTTTATCTTTCGTCGAATACCGTGAGCTCCCACCTTATTCTCGATGAGATGTGCACGTGCCCAATGCATTCAAAGGAAACAGCAAGCAGCACGTACGCTCAAAAAGCTGAAAACAACGGATCAAAGAACGCACCCAGCCTCCTGCGGGCTTCCTTGACCCCCTCCCCTTGGCCCCACCATTCTTAATGTCAGGCCGGTCCAGACCCGATCGTGCACGGGCTCGTGGATTGGCTCCAGGGGGCTTCGAAGGCCTGTCACACCAAGTTTCTCGCCGCGGTACGGGAGAGGGAAGAGCGGGCGGCTGCGGAAAAGAGAGAGGTGGGCGGGGCGTGGAGCAATAAGTGTTTTTTTTTTTGGGGGGGGGCATCGGGGTTGCTCACGCTGTATTTTGGAGTCAGCCAGAGCGTTGATTGGCCGACTGGGCAAGCTGCGGTGTGCAAAAGGCCCGGGTCCAGACGGCCAGACAGAAAAACACGCCATCAAAGCGTTTTTTGTTGGCAAGTCGGAACGCCGCCACAAGAAAAAGAGTGAAAGAATACATGTGTGACGCCTCTTGTGCGCTTTTTTCTGCTTTCTCGCTTCTCTAGCGCTGTATTTATCAAGCCGCCCCCCCTGCGCCAGCAGCAAGCTGGGCAATGGTCGCAAGTGGTTGTGTCGAAGCACACCTGTGTTTGCTTTGCGCCGAGGCGGCCTGGGCGGAACGAGGCAACAAGAACGGCGGAGACTGGGGTCTCCCACTGCGTGTGGTCCTCGGTGCTGTGTACGATGTGCCATGTGTGATGCACACACCGTTGTTCATGTGTTTGTTCGTGCTTTGAAGGGCGCTCTGACGAAAGCTGATTCGGGCGTATTTTTGCGAACCATTTGATGCTTTCGGCGCCGAGTGTGCGCTGCCGTATTTGTTTCTTGTTGTTTCGAAGTCGTCTACAATCGCATCCAGGGGCTAGGGNGAAAGGAGGCAGGCAGGGAGAGAGCGGTCTCAATGCGAGCTAAACAATAGGAACGGCGAGAAGACGGCCGTGGTATGTAGTACCTAACCCTTCCAGTGCAGTCACGCCAGTCGCCCCCCTGACGGACTTTGTGCGCGTGTGTTGGCTTCTGCTTCTTTTTTCAGAGAGCCGCCTTGGCGAGCGCCAACAAGAAGGGTTCAAAGAACTCTCGGCAACAGCAGCAGCAGCAGCAGCAGCAGTCAAAGGGCACGGCCGCGAGGTCTCCTTCGCCGCCATCTCCGATGACGTCAGCATCTACGATTCCTCCATCGTCGAGGGTGGAGCGCACCTTGGAGAGGCAGGAGAAGGCCAAGGCCGAGGAGGAGGCGTCGCGGGGGAGGGGGGGCCGGGGGGACGAGGACGAGTGGAGGCTGGAGTACCTCAAGGGCCTGAACGCCGGGTTCGACAACCAGAAGGTGGAGATGGCGTGCGCTTGACTCTGTTCTGGCAATTGTACAAAGCACCAAATTGAGAGAAGAGGGGTTCTATTGTAACGGATTTAGTGTGGTAGGGTACAAACTTGAGCAGGTCGTATGCATATAGGGTTAATAATGTAAATGTGTACACCTCTTATTGTATGGGTTCTACAATGCGATATTAAAGCCGCACTAAGTCCTACCGTACAGCAGTAGGCCCCTTGACCCCTCGACCAAACTGGACTAAAGAGCACGCAAACAATGGGCGAGGGCGGGGCGTGGGGTAGCAGTGTTTCCAATGTTTCAATCCGTGTGCCCTTCATCCCCCCCGTGCAAGAGGGCTCGTGAAGCCGAATCCCGGAAGCACTGCCCCCAACTGGATTAAGGACCAGATCAGGGGTGGAGGGGGGGGGGGCGTACTCTTATGTTTTGCATGCCTTAGCGGTTAGACCATTGACCACGCGTCCTCGGGAGGACGGAGCGTTGTTGCCACAGGACCGATCACCGATAGCCAATCGTTCCTTTCTACTTTGCCAAAGGTGGCTCGAAAAATGTCTTCCCTAGTCTGTCTATCCTAACGATATCCCTTCCCGCCTTTTCAACCCACCTCCTATGCCTCAGTACAGCTACCGTCCTTTCCTCTCTATTCCATGCCTCAAACATCTCCCTGTACGTCCCAGCTATTTTTCCCAGCTCAGTCACGTACACTTCCCTCTCCTTCTTGTACAACGGACATTCCGCGACTACATGAACACGGTCTTCGCATTCGAAGTCGCAATCACATTTGAACTCGTCATCTTCGTCGTCTACCGTCCTGTGCCTTCGTCGACATTCTCGAAGGCCTATGTCCCCGGTCCTGAATTTGACCTTAAGCTTTGTTCCTGCATCCATTGGTCCATGTAGGTAGTCCTTGAACCCTATTCCTTCCTTCAACATTCCGTACACTTCTAGACCCTCCTTATCCTTGGATTCTTTCCTCAGATTCTGTTCTTCTCTCTCGGCACAAGCAACAGATATCTTCTCCTTGAACCCCTGTAGACCCTCCGTTTCCAGCGTTTCATCTTCGTCGATGTCGAGCCCCTTCCATACGTCCTCTACAACCTTGACCCATTCCGTGGGTTGTCTACCCCTCTTTTTGTTTGCCCACTTCGCCTCCCATACAATTCTCGGCAACCTCTCCTCTCCCATGCCGCACACGCGATACTGCCATGTCAGCTATAGGATGATTTTCGCTGCTTCATCTGGGCCGCCTCGAGTGTTTTCACTACCTACTTATTTCCTTCCCATACTTCTCCGGCGTACTCTAGCGGCGGTACGATTACGCTCTTCAAAACCGTCAATTTGATGCGTGTATCGAGGTGCCGGTTTGCGAGTATTGGGTGCAGCTTCCCTGCTCGTGCTTTGCCCCTTTTCGCTACCTTGGACATGTGTGCATTCCACGAGCAGTCTTTTGCGATCTCTACTCCGAGGTATGTGTACTGGTCCACTACTGCAATCTCCTCGATCCCCCACTTCCATCTATGTTCTACTGGTTCCTCCTTGTTCTCGTTGCATACCATGACGGCACTCTTCTGAACGTTGGCAGACAATCTCCACTTATCAGTAAACTTCTTCGCCGCGTCAATTTGCAGTTGCAGTCCCTCAGGGGTGTCCGACATACCGACAAAATCATCCGCAAACAGCATTCCTGAAACCGACGTTTCCGTGTCCCCTACTTTTACTCCCTTCCGGACTGCCTCTACGACTTCCAACAGATCGTTGATGAACACCTGGAACAATGTTGGGGACAGCGTGCAACCTTGTGGGACCCCCTGCTCAATGTCGAAGAATTTTGACAGTTCTCCGTCTAGCATGACCGCGCTTTTCGTACACTCTGTCATCTTCTTCAGCACTCTCCACATTTTCCCCTTGATCCCGTATTTGGACAGTTGTTTCCACAACCCATTTCTCCACACGGTGTCGTATGCCTTTTTCACGTCCAGGAAGAAGCAGTACGTCGGCTTTCCCGCCCTCTTTCTACCTTGGATGATTCTCCCTACCGTGAACACGTGGTCTACGCACCCCCTCTTCTTGCGGAAACCTGCCTGGCCCTCACTAATGCTATGTTCCTTCTCCAATACTCCCACTATCCTATCGTTCAGCAGCTTACAGAACACTTTTCCTACTGTGTTCAACAGTGTGATCCCCCTGTAGTTTCCTGGGTCAGTCTTGTCTCCTTTCTTAAACAAGTTCACAACCACTCCTTCCCTCCATCTACTTGGCGTATACTCGTTTTTCCACACCCAATTGTATAGCAGTACCATCAGCTGGATCATCCCCTTCCCCCCAAACTTCATGAACTCGTTGACTATCCCATCCGCTCCTGCTGCTTTGTGGCACTTCAGCTTGTTCACACACGCCTCAACCTCGTCCTCAGTGAACTCCTTTTCTAGTTCTACGTTCCCAACGTCTGCCTTCGATGTCTCTTCTTCTTTTTGGGCCCATGCGTCCACCTCCTTCTTAAACGCTTGGTCAAAAGCTTCATTCTCCGAGGGCACTCCAAGTCTCTTGTAGTGTCCTGCTAGAACTTCCCTTTTTCCCTTCCCACTGCTGACTAATCCACCGTTCACACCTCGCAAAGTTGCGACCCCTGTATCCCCCCCTTGCGCGGTCTTTTTTACCATTCCACTAATCCCTTCCCACATCTGCTTGACGTTTCCCTCCAGGCCTCCGTTGGCCTTCTGCACTACTTCGTCCCAAATACACTTTTTCTTCTTTTTCACTAGTCCCTTCACCTGTTTTCTCTTGGCCCTGTACTTTTCCCAACTCTCCTCAGACGCCTCACTCAGGTACTGCTTGAAGACTTCTCTACGTTCCCCTATTTCTTCTTTCAGCTCGTCATCCCACCACTTAACCGATACCCCACATCGTACCACCTTCGTTCCCACTACTCTCTCTGCCGTTGCGTTCACGATGGACTCCCACCCTTCAATCACTCTGTCCCCTGCTGCCTGTACGTCTACCTGTCCGTCTTCGACGCTTCTCAGCAGTTTCCTGAAGGATTCTACACTACCAGCCAGCCCCTTCTGGAATTCATCCCGTGTCCCATCGTCTCCCAAACGCTCTACCTTCCACCGGAACACTTTCCTCTGTTTCTTACTCTTGATCTTTCTAGATCGGTCGATGTTTGCCCATATGAGGAAGTGGTCGGTCGAACCTATATCTATCGCACTTACGTGCAGCTCTGGGATCTGCGTGCTCCCCCTATCTACCAGGATGTAGTCGAGGATTGAGTATTCATTGCAAACTGCCCGTTGCCTTGTGAACTCCGGCTTATCGCATTCCCTCCTACCGTTCAACACCATCAGTTCGTTGCTTCCCAAGAATTCAAGCATCCTCACTCCGTTGTCATTCACTTTGTCTTCTCCGTGCTGCCCGATCGCCTGTCCTCTACTGGAAGCTTTCCCTACTCTGGAGTTGAAATCGCCCACCATGACAACTTCTCCCTTCCTACTGAACCTCTGGACATCTTCCCCAATTTGTCCAAAGTTCTCCTGCGCCTTGCTTGCGACTTTCTTCGACGACGGCGGGACGTATACGTTCCCTAGAAACAAATCTTTCTCACCCCGCTCCCCAGGTATCTTAAGCCATAGGCTTTCCTCGAACTCCGTTTTCACCACTACTTCCACCACGTCAAACAAGTGTTCCTTGACCAGGAATCCGACTCCCCCCTCCCCCCTTTTCTTCGGGTCTAAGCCCTTTCTTGCCTTCCCTACCCACCGGTATTTCCCTAGTTTGCTTACCACGTCCCCATCCTTCAATTCCCACGTCTCTTGGATCCCCACTACATCTAGATCGCTTTGTTCTACTTGGTCCACTATTTCCAACCGCTTGCGCTCACTCCTTGCGAACCCGCACACGTTCCACGACCCGACTCTCAGCTTGCGCTTTTCCCTATTGGAGATTTTGCGCACACCATCGTTCGCCTTCCGCTTCTTCTCGGACTTCTTCTGACTTGCTTGCTCGACTGCCCTGCTCGGTCCTTTCTTCGCCTCCGCCGCCCTCGCCTCTTGTCTCCTTACCTTCTCTGTTTCTATCATGTTCGCGATGCAAACCCTCCATCCAAACTTCCTTACGTAGTTCGACAGCTTCTCGATATCAACCCCCAAGCACTCTTGGCTGTCTCCCTTGGTCAATTTCACCCGGAAGTGTTCATGTTCTCTGCCTACTTGTCCCCTTGCTAGGCAGTGCAGTCCCTCCCTGTCACAACAGTTCTTGAACTCTATCCTCGTCATGTCCCTTGGAATCCCAAACAGCAGCAGCTCCAACTTGTCTCCCTTCCACAGTTTCTGCTTCCATCCTCCAAGCTTCTTCACCATCCTCATGATCTCTACGGCAACTGGACCGTGGCCACTTGTTTTTCGTGTTTTTTCAGGAAGGTATACGGAATACTCGGCCTTCCCAATCCGAGTGTCCGGCGGGGGTTGTGGTTCCTTTCAGTTCTTTTGCCGGCTCACCGACGCTAAATAGCGCCTCCAACATAGGCTCGTAGTCTAGATCCAAGTTCACACCTCCTGACACAAGTACCCCAGTCTTGTGCCGGGCGCTCTGCTTAGTAAACACCCAGACGTCCCCCGACCACCCAATTTATCATCTCCGAAGTCCCGCGGTACAGGCTACTTTCCTCCTGGGGTGGGGTTGGGGGCTGTTCTCTAACGTATACGGTGTTTCAACAAGGATTTAGTATGGTATGTTGTAACCTATACATCTTCTATTGTATAGGATTTAGTGTGGGTATGCATATGTATCGGCATCATAAGTATCAAGAACACAGCATTAGTAGCAGCGGGCCCTGTATATAGTGACGGTTGAATAGTGCCACAGCAGTCCGGTATAGTGCCGATCAAATCTCAGGACACATGATGATGAGTGTCCACTCCATCCACCGCCGCCGTGTATATATAGCCATCCATCCCTGTTATGAATAGTGCCGGTGTCCCGGTATAGTGCCGGTAGAACCTCTGGACACAAGATACCGGCACTAGACAGGCCCCTCTATCATAATGCACTACACACACGCGCGTCTAATTAGTATTGTACATGTATGTATGTAGTATTTGATTTGTACACTACGATAGATACTAAAGCCAAAACAAGACGCAATATATAGACTTTCCTATACCATGCTAAATCCTCTGCAATTCAGCGAATTGAACAAACTGGATTAAGCGCCCGAAAAAATGGAGGTAAAGGGGGGGGGGGGGTACTCATAGTCGTGCATGCCGTAGTCGTTAGACCATTGACCTCGCATCCCTACAAAGCCGGGACGGAGCACGCCGGGTTCTCACCGGACCAGGCTCTCACATCACCAAGCGCGAAGCGCCGTGAGATATTCGGCGAGTCGCATGAAGGGTGCGCTGCATCCTGCTAAGGGTGTTCGGCATCTTGTGCTTACTTCCTTGCGTACGGATGACAGCTGCGTATGAATTAATTTATTTTCTGGTGCTTTCACTTCCAGAGACAGTTGTAAGCACTGTGTAACTGCCTCGAGGGTGCTTGACCATTTTAACACAACGTGGTGCGATCATCCCCCTTGCGCGGAGTGAGGGTTCTCCACCCCGCACAACATGATCTACTCGACCACCATTATGGTTACCGCCAAAAAAAAAACCGGAGGTAAAAAAAAAAAACGGTAACCTGGTTGCCGAGTTCACGAAGTGAATTGGCTTGTTTTACAACGTCGTTGCCAAGCGACGAAAACCCAATCCCGATGGCAAACACCGGGGGGGCGGGGGGGGGATAGCAGTACTTCCAGGATTCGGCTTCGCGAGCCCTCTTGCCCCGTGAATCCTCCGACATCGCCGGAATCATTGTACACGTCCCGTGCACCCTGACCCCCCACCCCACCAAAAGTACCCGCTTGATTCTTCGTCATACCTACACCAGGCGAAGGACGCGGCGGACAAGGCCACGGGACGGACAGCGACAAAGCCGCCCCCTGCCCCGACAAATGCAACAAGTAAGCCTTCGGCGAGGTCGCCGCCGCCTGCCGCCGCTACCGCTGGCAAGAAGAAGCCTACGCATCCCGCCGCCGCCGCTTCGGCCGCTTCTAGCGAGAAGCAGGTCGTCCCTGCCGCCGCCCTGCACAAGCTTCACCTGGCGCTCACGGCGGACGGGGGCGCCGGGGAATCGGGTGGGGTGGGCGGGGGCGGGGGTATGGCGATTGCCATGGCGGACGGGTACAGGCCCTCGCCGTACCTGCAGGAGGTGATGGAGGTGCTGGAGGACACAAAGGTGGGATGGAAGGGTGGTGGTGGATGCCGAAGTATGCACGTATCAGGTGGTTTCAATGGCGGTGTGATTTCTTTTTTAACGAGTTTGTGGTGGGCGATGTAAGCGTGGGTGGTGGCATGGTTCCACCTCGTTCATGATTTTTTTTAATGTTGGCTTGTGGTCGTGTGGTCGTAGCGCTCTCGGCGCCGTTGTCTCTCGCTTCCCTACACCGTTGTTTGTTGGTGTCGATTGCAGACTTTGCACGTCTCTAGCGCCCCGCACACGTGTGTCCTATGCCCGTGGTTTCGAACGTGGCCGCCTCCGCGGTCAGTGCCACCAGAGATTCACGTTTCACCCAGATGTTGGCTGGTTTGCTTGGCGCTTGGGGTCAGTCAGCCAGTTGTGGCAGGGGAAATTGCTTCCCTGCTCTTTGGGCCAGCACGAAGAGCGTTCTAGGGGTGCTGCGTTGAGATCAGCACGGCTTTCAACTTGAACTTACCAAGTAAAAGCAACAACAACAACGACGACGAGGACGACAACGGCAGAAAAAACAGCGACAACCCCACCGCCGCAAATACTGTGATACCTCAGGCAAGCCAACCGTGGCTAGAGGCCCAGGAGGCCAAGAACCTCCCCCTCCCTCCTCTAGCGCACGCCGCGGAGCAAGCCATGCAGGCCCAGCCAAACGGCAATGGTGACGGACGAGCAGCCGGGAGCAAGAATAACGACAGCAGCAGCAACGGCAGGGACGAGGGTGACGGCGAGGCAGAGAGGCTCAGGGCGCGCGAGAAGATTCTGAGCGACAGCCTGTTCAGGGAGTTCGACAAGAAAACGCGCACCAGGTCCGCTCGAAAGACTTTCTGATTGCAGCTGGCCCGGGATAGGTTTTGCTTTCCGACTCTCGCACGGAGAGGAGCCAGTCCCTGTCGTTCATCTCCCAGCCGGGTAGGGCGTGTTATATGGGGTGTTTTTTTCTGTTGGAAAACGCCAAAACACAGCGCTGCTGCAATCTCAACACAGTAAGTAGCCTTCCCAGGGCTTTTCGTATTACGTAGACATGCTGGATAAAGCATGCAATCGGGGAAGTTGGGTTAGGGGCAGGGGTTAGGGACGTAGGGTCTGCGTACCCCCTCCCTGTTGTATTTCCTCATAATACTTCACTTCTCGCGAAGGCGGTCCTCTCAACACCATCACCCTTCGACCCTTTGCGAGAAGGTGTTTCCTCGGCAAGCTAAGGTGTGGAGCGAACATGCGATAGATAGCCCCACACAAGCAGCTTTGCTGGCGAGAGTGCAGATGAAGTCGCCTATGATGGATTCCATCCAGTCTTCAACCACGGCTTCCCTTCTGCTCGTGCAGTCGCTGAAACGAGGTCTAGACACGACCCTAATGGTTGAGTTGTGGGCACGAAGCAGAAACATCTAAGAAACCAATCTCCAGATGGGTAGTATGTGGGTGGGAAGAAGAGGGCCCAGAAAGCAAGGCTGTCGAACAGCGTGTTCCAAGTGTTGTTGCTATTGACCGTTGCCATTTCCAACACAAGGCCCTCTCTGTCAAGCGCTATCCATTAAGACTGACACAAGCGCTGTTCTTGGGGGTCTTGTTTTTTTCCTGCTGTAGGCCGTACCAGGACATGCTGGCGAAGCGGTCGAAGCTTCCCGCCTACGAGATGCGGGACCACATCGTGCGTACGGTCAGGAATGCGCAGGTTGTCGTCGTGTCCGGAGAGACCGGCTGCGGGAAGACGACGCAGGTTAGCGCCGTTCTTGTTGTTTCGGCCCATTACTATTCTACCACCATGAAACAAACTCCTGTGCGACCCTCTTTCTCTTGTGTGACCCCGACTGATACGTCAGGTATGTACGCCGAAAGGCTTGCAAAACGGCGCCAGAATAGATGGGGACGAACACACACTGTCTCCTGCGACCACCACTTTGTCCAAAAGATGACCACCACGTCGACACCCACTCTTCCGTCCGCCCCAGGTCCCCCAACTCGTCCTTGACACGATGATCATGGAGAAGGAGGGTGCGTCCGCCAACATCATCGTGACTCAGCCGAGGAGGATCTCTGCGGTCGGAGTGGCCGAGCGAATCGCGGCCGAGCGGGCCGAGAGGATTGGGGAAACCGCCGGGTAAAGTTGATTTGTTCGTGGCGCCTGCCGAGGCGGCACGGTGCTCGTGTTTTGCTTGATGTTGCGCGATTGGGCTGTTGCTGATCTCGTTGCTGTTGATCTCGCTCTCTCTCTCTCTCCCGGTCGAGGTGTCGCGAAGAGAGGCAGTAACACATGAGGGTGTGCTTCTTTGTATCCCTATTCTGTATCGGAAAGTAGCTCGGTGAGATGTTCCCGAAAGGCGCAGGTCATCTCGCCGTGATTTGTACCACCCTCCCGCAGGTCAAGACTGCTTTTTTTTTTTTTCCTTCGCACCTTCTCCTGGGCACAAGTATACTCACACGTTTGGCTTCAAGTCGACGTTTGACGCATACGCTGGGGGGGGCACGCAGATGGAGATTGTGGACCACGAAAACAGCGCTTGGCGCATTCTAGGGTCCCCACCAATTTCCGCGAGCGTTTCCCATGCCCCCCCTCGTGCGTGCTCATTATTGACAATCGACCGCGCCAATCGGCTGACCAATGAACGTTTGCTTTTGCCAATCTCTCTGTGCGTGCGTATTAGTAGCATTGACCACCCTGACCAATCAAAATGCGTAATTGCGGCTAGAAACGAAGGCCGTTCGTGCTCTGTGTTTGCGTGTGGGGTTTTCTCCAGGTACCAGATCCGGCTGGAGTCGAAGCGGAGCAAGGCCACCAGGCTGCTGCTCTGCACGACGGGTATCCTCCTGAGGAGGCTGCAGGTGGACCCCTGGTTGGCCTCCGTCAGCCACGTCTTCGTCGATGAGGTGCGTCCTTCCTTCATGCTGGCGCCTTCCGCTAGGGTTCCATCACACAAGTCTATCGGTTCGATCTCGGTTGGCTGCTGTAGGAGTGTGTTGTGGGTTCCGAACGACGTGACACTCTCTCCTTTCTTTTCGAGTAGGGTCGCGCCCCTCACCATCTCTCGTACGTTCTTCGCCATCGTCGCGTGCGATCGAGTGCTTTTGATGACGGCAGTAGAAATTGCGTGGGCACCTCGGCCCCCGATCACCCATGTCAAACCTGAGGCATTTTCTTTGTTTTAAATATCCCCCAAGCACTACGCCCCTCCCGGTGTTTGCCATCGGGGTTGGGTTTTCGTCGCTTGGCAACGACGTTGTAAAACAAGCCAATTCACTTCGTGAACTCGGCAACACAGGTTACCGTTTTTTTTTTACTTCCGTTTTTTTTCTTGCGGTAACCATAATGGTGGTCGAGTTGATCATGTTGTGCGGGGTCGAGAACCCTCACTCCGCGCAAGGGGGATGATCGCACCACGTTGTGTTAAAATGGTCAAGCACCCTCGAGGCAGTTACACAGTGCTTACAACTGTCTCTGGAAGTGAAAGCACCAGAAAATAAATTAAGTCATACGCAGCTGTCATCCGTACGCAAGGAAGTAAGCACAAGATGCCGAACACCCTTAGCAGGATGCAGCGCACCCTTCATGCGACTCGCCGAATATCTCACGGCGCTTCGCGCTTGGTGATGTGAGAGCCTGGTCCGGTGAGAACCCGGCGTGCTCCGTCCCGGCTTTGTAGGGATGCGAGGTCAATGGTCTAACGACTACGGCATGCACGACTATGAGTACCCCCCCCCCCCCTCCCCCAAGCACTGCTGTGAGTTAACCCACCGCAGAAAGTAAATAGTAGTCGTCCGTCATTTTTTTGTTTCACATCTACCCTTTCTTTCCGAAAAAACGTCGGTGTGAATGAACTCTTGCTGCAACGTTTCCTTGCCTATCGATGCACTGCTGTACCCCCGGCGTTTGTTCCGCCGCCGGCATGCAGGTGCACGAGAGAGACTTGGACACCGACTTTCTACTCATCATCCTCAAGGGCCTGCTGGCCAAGCGCCCCGGGCTGAAGCTCGTGCTCATGAGCGCCACCCTCAACGCCGACATGTTCAGCGACTTTTTCGGAGGTGAATGTCTCCATGTCCATTTTCGCACCCCCGTTGGTGTTCTAAGCGCTGTGATTGGTCGACCTTCACATTCCGGTTGTAGATGACACAGGCTTGACTTGTAGTCCCCACGTTCCGACCCCAACACCCTATCAAGGGACCCGCTCAGCTGCGTCAATTCTACGGCGGTGGAACCAGGGTCCAAAACGTTTTTGGTTCTGATGCCTTTCAGGGAATATGTCAGCGAGCAACCATCAAACGCGACATCGAGTCTTGAGAGTCACCTCTGGTACTCCGAGAGTCTTTGCGTTTTTTGTGTGTTTCTGTGAGGGTGCGGCTCGCGAACTGCTGTGCGATGACGTTTGCTCGAGGGGCACCCGCACATTCTGCTTATCAATACTTAGATACGGCCGTCGTCGGGACATTGTCTTGCCGCCACCTACTTTGGGGGGCGGAAAGAGTATCGAGACAGCAGAATGTGTACGGGATGGATGGGAATGAAAACAATAACAAGAGCGGGAAGCACCGCGGGATGTTGGCCATGGAGGTTGGCGACGCGATGGCCCCGGACGGCTAGCTTGGCTTTGGCCTTTTCGTGAATCGAAAACGTTTTCCGGCTCTACAAACCATGTTACTGTGTTTCTGTTATCAGCCGATGCACGATGTCCAGCAAGGATACCAGCATCCGCAGCAGCAGCAGCAGCAGCAGCAGCAGCAGCAAGAAAGCAGTAATACCATCGTGTATTGTCACTACTGCTCTCAAACATACCAACGTTTCGACGACAAATGCAGGTGCACCGGTGGTGGAAATCCCGGGGCGAGCCCACCCAGTGACCCCGTTTTTCCTGGAGGACGTCTTGGAACGTACCGGTTACGTGGTGGACCCGAAGGGCGACTTCGCCGTCAAGGGGTCGAAAGGAGGCGGCGGTGGCGGCGGTGGGGGAGGGGGGAGGGTTAGTGGGATGAAGCCTGGCGACTGGGAGTGTCCTTCGTGCGGAAACAACTGCTTCGCGAGCAAGTCGGCCTGCTACAGGTGTTCCTTTTGTCTTATTTTGTTTTTTGTGTTGTTCTCTTTGCTTTCCTTCACTTGTTCGATCGTGTCGTTTTCACTCTTTGGTCCGTCTTTTTTTTGGTAGTCCCTCTTTTGACTTGCCGCAGACAAGAGGGCGGCTGCCTGGGGTGAACCCACAGAAGCCTCGAAGAAGAACCGAAAATGTTGGCCTTGAATTATACCCGAAAATGAAGGCCGGGGAGGATCGCGCCGTGCTCGGTTTCGAGCTCTAGCTACTCTCCGCTCTTGTTTCCAAGGCCATGATTGACCACAATTGCGGTTCTCCGAGATTTTCTTTCCGGTATTTCACGTATGGTCTTTTGTCTTTCGGCTTGACCCTCGCTGGAAACGTGCAGTATATATAAATATATATATATTTTTTCTCGCTGCGTAGCTGCCTTGTCCTCTAGACGAAGGCTCCGTGTGCCGCTGCTGCGACACGGCGCGCCGGTAACCTACGTTCTCGACTTCAACAGGCAGTGAAAGGCGCTTTTACGGGATGTGGATTGACCCCGGAAATCCGCTGACTCCCTTTTATTAAGACTTTGGGTAGACCGCCAAGCTTCTACAGCATAACCTTGCCGCGTCCTGCCTGTGTGCCCGCCGTTTCGTCCTGCAGGTGTGGCACCGCCAAGCCTACCCCGGGGGGTGCCAAACCCAAAGGAAAGAACGGTTCTCGGAATGGTCCTCAGAACGCACCTTCTACGGCAGGACAAGGGGCAGGAGCCGGGTCCGGTGGTGGGTCAGTGGGCGGGGGGGCAGAACGGCCGACGATCGGCGAGATCAAGAACCGGTATGCCGGTTTCAGCGACCACGTTCACCAGAGCCTGCTGGTAGGTGTATTTGCCGTCGTCGTAGTTGCTTGGTGTTTGCCAGAACAGCGGTCGCCTTCGTGTGTGTTGGCTACATGTCATGATGTCGGCGCTGCATGGTTTGGTTATGTCTGCCAATGGCCACCGGTAGGTTGCAACCCGCGCCCCGGGTCCCCATCTTTTTTGGCGTTGTGTTGAACGGAAGCGACGCGAGAATAGAACCCCATGCGAGCTTTGCGTCAGAGAACCGCTGTACGTGCGCATTTTGGGTTGAGGGGTTTTCTGCGGCACTGCGCGCGATTGTGTGTGTGGGAGAGAGAGAGAGAGAGAGAGAGAGAGAGAGAGAGACAGAGACAGAGAGAGAGAG